AATGTATTTATTCATGCTCCAAACTTGCTACTCATCTTCCTGCTCTCATCCCTAAAAGGCCATCATAATCATGGAGCAAAGCCTTCCTTATTTCCAGTGCCCTCCACAGCTAACACAAGTGACCTGCTGTGCATGGAGTCCTCTCTCCAAGGGCCAAGCCGTGGACCACTTTCAGTAGGAAGAGCACCTCTCCTTAGTTAGGTGGAATCATTCCAGGGACTCGGGCGGCCCCGGAAAGAGCCACATTGACTCAAGTAAGAGAATAAAGAGTTGCTGAATAAGACAGAACCCAAGCACTCACTTCCCCCAAGAGAGAAAAGGTGAAGCTGGTTTTCTGGGACGAATGAGTGAAGTGGATGGTGAAGGGTCACACCCTCTGTCACTGCTGGCTGGGGGCGCAACCCTGTTCACATCCCCAGCTCCAGACACGGGCTGCTCTCGGCTCAGCTGGCAAGAAGGTCTGTGGGGCTTGAATGATCATAATGGGTTAGTAACTAAGGATCCTGCTCTGGAAAATGAATTGCAAAGTTCAGTATGAAGCAAATGGACTGTCTGAAATTCAATTCATATGGGTCCATAAATGAGAAAACTGTGGCTCCAAAAAGTTGGGGGTACAAGACAGACATTTCTTCCAAGAGAAAATCCAGACTAAAGGCAGAATTTAAAACTTTATAATTTGGGTATTTACGAATACTCTAAGTCTAGTTTTTAAAAGCGAGCTTCGTTAAATGGATTCAGACACTAATTTTTTTTTTTAAAAAGCCCACACTCAAAATGCAAGAGAAAGAGTACTTTCTTCATTAAGGCGAAAGTAGTCACTTGGAACATATAACTGTACTATGAGGGAGGGGAGCGTAATATGGCAATTGTCTCAATTTCCAAGTGAAATCTGAAAACAAGCAGTACGTTTTAGCCTCAAGAGCACTGTGCACCCCCACAGAATACAATAATGCCTCCTAGAGTTATGCAGAACTGAGCAATGCAAGGCATGGGATACAGAGAAGACCAGGCAGGAAAAATCTGCTCCACTCTGGATACACATTCAGGTTCTGTCATGAATGCTCCAAAAAAAAAAAAAAAAAAATCTCAATAATCTAAGTAAGTGTACTCACTGATATTTTTCCAAAACATTGCACTTTTCTGTATGGCTTCCACACAGACTCTGTGGTCAGGGCAAAGGATTTGAGAGAGTGAGAGACATTTCAATTTATCTTTTGGGCACAGGTCCTGGTGAAGTCAGTAGAGAGTAACTTTCAGAAGAAAAAGGGAAAATTCCCCACCTCCAGTGTTTCTTCATTTCCAAGCTACTTGAATTAAATGAACATAATGCAGGAATCTTACACTTTCTAGGACAACCTTTCCGTGACAACTCAGGAAAAGAAGATGCCTACATCCCACCGTCCCACCTGTAAGCCCGTGAATCTAAAGTCATGATTTTGAGTTAAGAAAGGAAATACTAAGAAATTCTACTATTATTTCCAGGACGCTTCAAACAATGTGAGTTTCTATGCTCTGTCTACACTGCCTGACCAGGCACTGTGGGTAATGCCCCGAGAGACAGAGGCAGGGTAAGCTTTTAAAGGCACTGCATTTAACAAGCTGGGTTCTTTAACACAAACGTACACATTTCCGTACATATTTATAAGCCCTGGTGGTTATTATTAGGCTGTAATTGTAGTTGTTCTAACACCTAATAAGCCATGGTTGGAAAAACAAAGGCAGGTTAATTTGTGATTTCCTCTACTCATTCAGAGGCAAATTAAGTGTCAAACGGCTAATACGGAACATATTTCATTTTATGAGATTTTAATTTAATTCTGCACCATATCGTTGATGCCTTAATATAGGGTGGTTTATCTAAAAAGAGAAGCAATTTATAAACCTCTTTCAACAGAATCTTTAATGATAGGATATGATAGCTTAATTATCACAGTTCCTGCCATCCTTCTAAACAGAGATCTGCCGGTACTTCCATCATCAACACAAATCCCGTTTTCAAGAGACTTATAATTTTGTTTTTAAACCTGGCACCAGAAGGACAATTATGTGTACAAAATAATGAGAATATCCCCCAATTTTGTCTTGGTATAATTAAAAGTGTTTATCCTAAAAACTCTGTAAGCTCACTTGATCTCATTTTCTAGAAGACAGTTACAGAGAGAGCGTTTTGGAACCTGAGTTCTAGATAAAACCATTTTACTTTTCCAGGATACTGCTTTATGGCTCAGCAAAGATGTCTAGATTTCAGCAATGAAACCATCCTGGCCCAGATGACCCTCCGCTCCCAAAATGATCACAGGCGTCTACTCCTAGCAGCACCTCAGAAGGTGCAAAAGCAAGGAAGGGGTTCGTGATTGAGCGAGGCCAGTGTTTCTTGGGCCCCCACTGCCTCGAATGCTAACTCCCAGCACTTGTTTAGAGCCCGGGACTCGGAAGACTGCTCACACTTTTAGGACTTCATTGAACTCCTCCTGCAATTTGGAGAGTCCGGTAAGGAAGAAAACCACATTTCCAGGGGATGAAACCGCTCCACGCAAGAGTAGGTTAGCAGAGTTCCCAGAACAGGTAAGTGTAAATAAAGCAAGCGTGGGGGGATTGGAGCTGTCCTGCTCATCCAGTCTCCCGATGGACAACGTTTTCCAAGGGGCCTAGCCGGGTGCTGGGCACTGCCGGCCAACGAGCAGGAAACCACCAGGAAAGGGGGTATGCACCACAGTGAAGGCTCACGTGGGGTGCTCCGAGGAACAGCCTCGGAAACACCAGCAGAAATGATGTTTGAATTAGGCCTTGAGGATGAGGAGTTGAAGCAGAAGTTGGCCATGCAGCAAGGGAGGGCCACTGAGGGCGATGCGGAGAGAATGTCCTGTTACAAAGGCGCACGGGAGAGATGGGCCGTACCCTCCTGGAGCCAAGTGCAAAGCCCAGGTTCTCCACCTACAACCCTCCTAGGGCTAGCAGTCCTGGGGGGCCGCAGGCCCACCTCCTCACTACGCTCTGCCCACGGCAATGATGCTCCGAAGCCTCCAGGACTCTCCTGTGGGCCTCGGGATGGTCGACTAGCCTGACATTGTGAATTTTGGTAACAGTCCATTTAGGCAGCTAGAGAACCATTTAGTCAATTGTGTGAAAGTACCCGAAGGCCTGGCCGGAAAAGCAGGAAGTCCCTAAAACCTATAAAAATTCCAGCTCAGCAGTCATACCTGAAATGTAACCCCTAACCCCCAGGACTTTCCAAACTTGACCTGCCTCATCTTGTGGTGTCTTTATCACAGGTGAGCTAATACTGAAGGTACAGTGATCAGGGCCCAGAATACAATGTGTGGGCTACATGAGGGCTTGCTATTGTTGTATTCTGCCAAAGAACCAAGACTTGGGATTTTTAACAGTTAAATTCATATTTGCATTTAATAACAAGGCAAACTGTAATGAACCCATAGGAACTAGGTCATTCGATCATATAAACTCATTTTTTGGGGAAGTTTCTCTGTAACAGGATTTTGGGAAGCACAAAGAACTCTGAAATTCCACAGAAAATCTGATTTAAATTACCACGTCACAGAGACTGGAGTCTGGGAGGAATCAGCCATGTGCATCTCCAAAGCTGGTCTGGTCCTTGCTGGCTCTGTACCACGGGGCAGAGCCTCGTCGAGGACCTTTGTGGGCCCATCTGCCCCGCAAAGCCTCCATACCACAGGGGTGAATTACACGGCAGGTTTCAGCCTGAATTTGGAATGTCCTTCCCTTTTGGTATACGGGTTTTTAACTGGCCTCATGGTTTTATTTGAGTATATTTTTAGCAGGCTTCAGAACCCTGTGAACACTTCCTTGTGTTCCAGTGAAAAATCAAAGAGTAAGTCACAAGTTTCTGTATTCCCTCTCTATAAATACCCACTTCTCCTTTAATGCTCATGGAAGTCTGCAACACAGATTTATTACTTACCTCCAGGCAAATCTGCTCTGAAATTACAATTCAATAATGGGGGATGGATCCAAAAAACTGTTGGTAAAATATTATATGTGTACGTGGGCATGTAGTTACGGCTGTTAATATCAATTAATTCTGTTCACAGAGGAAGACTTGTTTTAAAACAACTTCATTTTTCTTTGGCATATACGTAATTACACAGCTTAACTAATGGCCATGGAGACACAATCTACCATCTAAATAACCAGCATTATTCTTCAAAGTATTATTTGTGCTTTTCTAACTTTACTGTCTCAGAATGCAGGGTGATTACCAGATCTGACTAAATGTATACATCAAGGCCATGAGGAAAGGGTGGCCCCTCCCAGACGCTGGCTCCAGTAATTACAGTTCCAGACGGTCCTCCGGACATGACGATAAGAGAATATCACCTTAGTGTGGAAGTCTGCTACTCTTTTTACCCCCAACCTGGGTGAGATAATATTTGTTTCCACAAAATGCTCTGCTTTCTTTTCTAATGTACGTGATCACCATCATTCTTTCCCTTTATCTTTGTGTAAATCACGCACTTGATCATGGGTGCCATTCTGTTTGGGAGACAGTTCCATCAATCAAGTCCCTGTCGCCGTGCACACCATGGGGGCCCTGAAAATTCACCATGAAAATTTCATGACAATTCGTTGTGCTCGCTGGGACAGGAAGGACTTCCGGGTAACGGGAACATTAGCATGAAAAACTTCAAACCCAATCTCTCCCAGATACATATTCTCTGAGGGGTAAGTTTCCATTAGACCTCGACTGTTTAATTTAGTATTTACAGCCCACAGAACACACATCAGCAAAATATATAGTGAATACTTGCCAGCCACCTAGTGTGACAGGCATTCTTCAGGAAGCAATGGGGATCTGCTTCAGTGAGTCCAGGAACAGACAGGCTTGCCATATTTCAAAAGTAAATCTTACACTCCTACCACATCTTCAAAGCCCGGGAGGCTCACCGTTAACAAAACGTCGTGGGACAGGAAGAGCTCGTGCTCGGTTCTGCTTCGTTAAGGGGTAAAGTTTTACTACTTACACATGCAGTGGAGGAATTGGAGACGGGTCATAATGGTAACGCCCCTCATGATGTCTTGCATCGATTGGTACGGGAGGGTGGAATGCAGGAAAGAGATGAGAAGGGTCTGAAACAGAAAGAAAATCCAGCATGTATAAAAGGAACGCTCTGAAACAGAATCCCAGCCCCTGACACCACACCGCGCTTCTGCCTTCACAATGTAGGCCCGGTCCACTTTCGAGAATCTGTGGAAACACTCTTCCAAGTTCATTAGGAGGCCACAGGGGACCCCAGAAGTATGACCAAGCACCTCGTACCTGTGCCCCCAAGGACATGGGGGTGAGGAATGCTGTGACAACCCACACGGAAAAACAAGAAAGGGGAATAAGGCATGTCCCATCCTGAAGGGAAGGGTAAAGGGAGCGACAAAAGCAAAAGAAACAGATTTCAAGACACACATTTCCTTCTATAATTGTACTGTCAATGGAAATTTAGACAAAGATGTAATATAAATACTAGTTTTGTTTCTCTCATATCCATGATGCTTCATAAAAGAAAGTCTTTTTTTTAAAGTCCCTGCTAGAATCCATGGGTCTATTATATACATGTATGTCTGCTGTCATAGATATGCATGGTACACACACACACACACACACACACACACACACACACGATTTTAACATTCAAATGCACACTCCCCTCCTTCCTGTCCTGGGTCAGGCCTCCACAGTCCTGACACAAGCACAAGGACAGCAAATCTACAGGTTAGTCAGAGAAATGGGCTAACGGGGCTGGAGGAGGTGAGCAGACCCTCTCACACTGACAGGGGAAGGCTGGGAGCAAAGGAAGGCCCCCACCCTGACATTCACCTTGGACCCAGACTGGCCTCCCCCTGTTGGGCTCAGGCTGGGGTTAGCGTTCCCTGGGCTCCTCCTATGTGTGTGCTACCTCAGATAGTTCCTCAACTCCACTGACTAGAGTAACTTAAGCGGACCGTCTCTGACAAATCTGAACATCAAGGTTTTTGTTTTTGTTTTTTTTTCTAAATAGTGATCCACTGTAAAAACCTGAAGAGAATTTTGCCAGATTTTAACATGAGAAGCTTGGTTGATCCCAAGTTTCTCCCCAAGTTTTAGGAAGCAAAGGGACGGAGTGAAGGTATGGCTCCACGGCCGTGAGCCTTGCATTACAGCATATACGCCGAAGCCTCTCTTCACATACTGCCTTCCACACACGCATGAAGCCATCCTGCTGCTATTGCCCGAAAAGAGTCCCAGGGATTGATGTGCACACCAAAGGCGCCTCAGGAGGGCTTCCAGCGTTTTCTAAAAGTCTGAAGGTTTTGCTAGACCTGAGGTAGACGGTAGTACAGACGATCTAAATGAGGCCCTGCAAACGGGTTCTGAGTTGCATCTGGAAGAAGGGACACAGAACCTCCAGGTGGGGGTGAGGGGCTGTGCCAAACACGGACCAGGCGTGACCCACCCCCGCACCATGGATGTGCACACGTCCCCATGTCTGAGTGGTGTGTGTGTGTGTGTGTGTGTGGAATTCAGGTGTTTTTCCTTTTCCTCCCTATACATTTCTCTTTCTCCTAAATTTTCTTCAACAAGCATCTTTTAGAATGTCAACATAACAAGTTTTTTTTAAAAAAAATTATGAAATCTTACTTCCCTTGTTCGAACTTTGCCCTTGCTTCCTTCCTTTGAGAATCGACCAGTAAGGTTAGGAGGAAAATAAATAAAATAAGAGTGAAAAACTATTGACACCGCATTGACAGAACCAAGGCAGTGCCCGAAGCTATGGGTCCACCAGATGTAGAACCTTTCTTGGAAAACCTCTAGGACTGGGAGAGGAATGTCGTAACAAAAAGGCTTTCTGACTGTATCCAGGGCTGCTGGTAAGATAAAGGAGGGAGAAGAGGAATCATTGTGGGGCCCGGCTAGTCACTGTGATACTACCAAGAACAGCCATGCTGGAAACTGAACGGGTGAAGGATTTCCAACCACCTCATCACTTGCCACAATATACACTGTATAAATTCCACACAAGAAAAAAATCAATTCTATTTTAAGTGCACTGCTTAGGACTTAATATTAAAGGATGTTGGCATCTTTTGTAATGCAAATCTTGATGGCTGGCATGCTAAGTTTGAAAGTTGATCCAGCACTGCTGTCAAATTCAGTCTGGGCGTCCCGTGAGTCAGTCATCCTGCAGAGCCAAAATGTCCAATTTCACTTAACCATTTTCGACGAAAATTATTCATCCTTCCTAAAACAACCTACAATTGAGTGGAGTAATCTTTTTCACTAGTTTGAAAGTCTGACACACGTTCAGTAAATATTTCCAGATTTTGAATTTTGAACCAGGCCTCAATGTGTCAGATTTGAGTCCAGGGTGAGGGGGATGGCCACCAGACGCCGGGGTGGCTCCTTCAGTGGTCGCTGCTCACGTGAACACGCTTGCTTCCCGTGGACTTCAAACTTAGTTCACGTCCATCTGCTCTTGGAAGTCAGAGAAATAAGGCCACGAGCACTGTGTTTCAGTCAAGCATTCATAAAGTCTGACCCACCTCCTGAGGGTTTCTCCCACATATTTTCCAGGGCCGTTTTGAGGGACATTGTGACAAACACATCGGAGTTGGAAGATCTTTTCACATCTTCCCTTCCTGGCTCTTGGCTGTGGTCTGTGTGATTTAATTCTCTCCACCAGATAAGTGGGTGTCAATCGTATCTGCTTTTCTCTAGGTGGGTTCAACAATGAATTACAACAAGGCACAAATCCACATTTTTCATATACAAGGGGCTCAAAATGTGTGAATTTATTCCACTTTCAGTATCTGCCTCATACAACCAGGAAGTAACACCCCTTCTCGTCGTTTGAGTTTTGATCATGATGTTGCGCTGATTATGTGCACACAGGGAAAGACCGACCTGTTGATCCTATAAAATCAAGAGTGCACCCGAGCAGCATAAAAATCTCCTCCCTAAGAAAACCTGGAGAGCTGTCATGGACATTTAAAAGGCACCGCCACCTTTTCACTTTAACGAGAAGGTATTTTTACAAGATTTTAATTCACTCTTATTCTTGCCCTCTCTCCTTTCAGAATGAAAGAGAAAATGACCACGCACTGCAAAAACAATTTGAGAGGAAAACGGAAGGCGCAATTATTGGGACATTCATAGTCCTTCCTCACTGTTGCGTCTGATGTCTTGTGAGCTTTAAAGTTCATTCTGACTGAGAGTATGTGTTTATTTATGTCCTAAGGAAATCTGTGGATTCTGCATTCTGGAATTAGGGTAAATAAAGAACAAAAATTAACGGGATTGATCTGATTGGAGCATACACATCTGGTCTTAGTTTAAGCATTTTACTCTTTCTATTTGCTTCCCTCCTGATGCAGCCTGAAATAAGTTCTCTTGGACTGATGAAGTCTGCGCAAACAACTCTTCCTGGTGCGTCCGTGATCAGTGGAGACCACAGCTCCTGAGCTACCTTCCGGAAAAACGCACTGCAACACCCCTCCTGCACTTCGAGACATGCCTGAGCACGGCTTCACGGTATAAACGAAGAATAAAAAAAAAAGAGAGAGAGAGAACGATTCTATCCCGTCCCATCTGTACCATCGCATGACATTAACCCTCACACATTGCTCCCACAGAAAAAAGTACCCAAATCCTCCAAAGCTGGGTGCTTTCCTTGCATCTTGGCCTGTCGTTTGTATGTGGAAGATCGGCAGCATATTCCATCACGGGCCCAAGGAGCTGTCCAAGAAAACCCACACGACAAGAACAGGCGCGTGTCGCTAGCAGCCACCATAATTAACCACCGCGCGGGTGTCTATTTACACACAAGCAGCGCAGCTGTGGAACATCATAACTCAAGTGGATGTGTGCAGAAAGATGCCGCACCGCAGCCCTCTCCTGCTCGGGCCCTTGACAAAACACCGCGTGATGACTTTTCCAAAGTCAGGAGAAAACTGCTGAAGCAGAAGGAAGTGCCACTAAACCTGGCTACCTCCTATTTATCATACAATTTCCTGACTGATGGTTCCACAAACCAGCTGCTAAGTGCTGTGTACTCTACTGTCAGCAAACTAATGGGCTAAATGGAAGACGGGGAGAATAATGTGCAGAACTGGTAGAATCAATTTTACTGAGGGAATTAAAATTCTACCAGGTGGGGGTGAGGCTGCGGAGCCGTGGTAAGCAGTCAACTGTACATGCTTATGGTTGCAAAGATGATTTATTGCATACTTGCAAGAGGCTTGACTATTAGACCAAATTCCTCTTGTACTAACCAGAGATTTGAAGAGTGCATATTATCCGAGGCTTCAGTGGAATAGCCTTTAAACCCCATAAATATGTAATTGGCTTGACACGTGTTTAAGCTGAAATGCATAGTAAAAATATTTGTGCTGGGTATAGTTGTCAGTGTTCGATTTCATGCTGGCTGTCATCACGGTACGCATTAAGGGTCTCATTAGGAATGAGAAGCATTGATCTCGAGGTCTCTTCGCAACAGCCTGGGTTGATCGTAAAAGCTATACCCAGAGAAAGACACTTGGAGATTTATCTTCGGTTGCATCTTTCTCCCAAGAAATAGTTTTAGTATCCTCGGGCTAGAAGATCTCTTAGAAGCCACTCTGGAAACCTGTCTTTTAAGGTATGAAATTTCCATATAAAAATTGCAGTTTAAAAAAGAGAGATCAAAGTTGGCTCATTTCGTGCCCTAAAGGAGTATAATTCACAGAGGGTACTTGAGGGTCCAAGTTCTCCTGGCTAATTTAAAGACTGAAGTCATCTGTGCACTCACTTTGGAACTTATCCGAGACCATAACTAGAGATTATTTTTCCTGTCATTAGGGCAAAACCCTGCCCATAGGAATGTCCAAGCCCCTCAAAGTCACTCAATCACCTGTTGTCAGCAGAAATATCATTAAAATCCCAATGTGGCCACCAGCCACTATACCAGAACCAAAATAATCACCTGGTGGCTATCGAATGAGAGGTCTCAAGCCAGAGAAAGGGAGAGCGAGAGAGACCCTTCCCCCTTCAGGGAGATGGGGAAGAGTCACCAGGGGTCTTGTCTCTGCCTCTTCCGCCCTGGGCATCCCCAGTCATCACC